CGCCATGTTTCAATTACGACCTGCATTGCTGCCTGTGTCACGGTGATGTTGCGTCAACTTTTGGCTTATCACTTGTATGAGCTACATATTGGGTCCTGGTTTGTTTTTATGTGGTTGATATGAGCATTGAGCATCATGAACTGCGTCTACTTCGGTTAGCAAGTATAAATAGGTGGAGTATTAGACCTATATGACACCACTTCAATACTAGTACATTTTGTTTTTTTACACCACGACGGTGGTAAGAAAAGCACGGCCGCCTTATAGACATACCTACATTTTGAAGACAAAAGTTACATGTTACAAGAATATAAGAATGTTCGTTTTAATTAATGAACAAATGACCATAATGTTCTTAATTAATACAGATATTACCTATTCGTTATCAAGGTAACATCACAAAGAACAATTTTCGAAATCTTTTAACTTTATAAGGAAAACGGTTAGATATGAATTTTCCTTATAATGCGAATGATATTATTGAGAAAATATGTGTTTACTTCAATGATGAGTTCATCTGACACGGAAAGATTTATACGTGTTGAAACTATGTTATTATAGTTAAGTGTTATTCAGTTGCTATAGATTTATTTGCATATATCTACTACAAGAAGTAGTGGCGGCTTTACCCTTATTTGAACGTATTTTCGATTATATATCATGTGGTATTTTAAATTTTCACGTGTAATTTCTTGTTGTTAGTTAACTTCTTATTTGTTATAATATGGACTTGGGGGATTCAATCTTTCAGTAAGTAATTTAAAAAAAGTATAGTTTGGTAATTTTCAGTTTCAAATACAATCGCCCGTATAACCTAAAAATTACAATAAATAAATCATAGTTTTATTGTGTATGCTTATTTACTAATAAGCGTACACAATATAGCTATGGTTTCTTTGGCTATACTTGCCAACTAGTCAAATTCAATACTTTTTTCGAACTGTCAAAAAAGACAGTTTTATATGAATTTTGTACGAGATTGTGTATAGTGATGTCACGTTTTTTAGCGTCAAACAGCACACTTATTTATTAAAAACTTGCTTGAAATATACTAAAATTGAGTTGATCATAAAATCAATTACTATTTTATTGTATTGAACAGTCGAAATAATTTATTTTTGATGAAGGCAAGTACCCAATTCCACACACAAACTAACAGCCTATCATTTAAAGCTCTATATACGTATAGAGCTCACATGCATTATATAACGCAGTGATGAGGAAGACAGGTCATCCAGGCATCCACGTTTAATTATCCAACATAAAACAGGTACTTATGTAACCTAAGTACGTTATTTAAATACTTGTTCCTTACTGGTTTCACTTAGTATATAAGTTTCTTTGAGAAATAACCTGGGATGGTATGCAATGGTCACGTGGATTGTAATGGCATTTTGCAATGGAATTCATATTGCATAGTGGAGTATTTTGCTTACCTACTTATCCACTTAAGTTAGGTTAGGTTATAGAAGTAGGCACATACAATCATTATACTTCTATACAATCTAAACTTAGCAATTGTCTTCATAAAGCTTATTTATTTTTTTATAATAACTATCGTGAGACATACTGCATTAACTAAAAATAATGGTTTACTCACGTAAATATATTGAGAAAAGCTCTATTGGTTTTGAGTACCAACAACACATGCAGCAAAAAAAAATTAATCACACGGCCTACTTAGCCAAGTTTATGGATAAAATCAAGCATTTTGTTATAAAAATAGAGTACCTTGACAGTTATTAAAATCCTGTAGATAATATATATACAATTACATTCCAGAGTCTTTTAAATTTCCTATGGCCTTTACGCGTTTGTCTTCAAAAACTATCCGCAATTATCATTCCAAATTATTATGAAGTTTTCCTATATTGAACTAAAATTTTCACAAAGAATCATTTATCTTCTCATTTATTAATCCTTACTAATATTATAAATCGGAAAGTGAGTTTGTTTGTTCCGCTTTAACGCCGTAACTACTAAACCGATTGCTTTGTATTATTACAGACGTAAAGTTAGAAGTCCGGATTAAATATTATGGTACTTTTTATCGCGGAAAAATGTGATGTTCCCGAGGGAAACCAAAAGTATTGATATAGCTGGCGCTGTGTATATTGGTATATGTCACATAGGCTACTTTTATCCTTTTGTGACGCGAGCGAAGCCGCGGGTAAAAGCTAGTTAAATAATAAATTGCAATAAACCATTTACTATAACTGATCTGCTATTAATGTCATATGAATTCACGTTACACCTGTGGTTAGCCACAGTTCAATAATTTCACGTATTTAATTCCACACATTCCAGCTAGCAATCATTCGTATAATTTTATAACTTAATATAGTTTTTTATATATTTATCTCTAATGTTATTTTAATTAGGTTTGTTTTTATTTCGTTTAGTTGGTAAGAACTGTGTTAGAGAACTTAGCTGTTTTTCGTCAGTTACTTTGTATGCACAAGATAGGGAGATTTTTATTGTTTAGTGAAATTAATTTGCATCTCTCTATTCAATTTTGAGTTTTAATGTTTTGCTTCTAAAACCTAATATATTAATTAATGTATGTTTTGATGTAGAAGATATTATTTTAAACCAATCTCATTAAAACCTAGCATTAAGGTTTAAAATAATATTTCAGGACAGACTAAAAGGTAGAATGTTAATAGTAGGTACGTGCGGAAGGTTTTAAATTAAACAAATAATTGAATATATGAACACAAAATTACTAAACACTAATATTGACACTACTAACATATTTTACAATTATTATAATAATATTCCCAATTATAATTAATAACAATAATTACTGCTGGTGGTGTTTTAAAGGTAATTTTGCAACCAATTACCTTTAAAACATAAGTAAACATTACACACCATGTTAAGTTACGTCCTTGACATAAATAAACAATACAATATTGATTTTAAAACCTATTTTCAATAAATTAGCACCTATACTCAAAAGGAGGTGACAATTGTTAGAGTTCTTCAACCATTTACTAAAGTCGTAGCATTTGTCTTTGGTATAATACATTTAAGGTAAGGTCAGACTAACTTATCTGTTACTTTCATAGTCTTAGATTTTTTCAGTACTAATGAAGTACCTAATAAGTATCGTCTCTCAAATTGAGTTCAATATTCCTACGACAATTGATTCGCTATAGTTACGTAGGAACCACGTACTAAAATAGGTGTTACGTCAAAATGTACTTTATCCCTTCAGGCTATAAAAGCATAATGTTATGTGCGCTTATGTGAGTATTCATCCATCAAATAATCAAATTAAAAGTATCATTACAAATAACAAAAAAGAAACAAATTAAATCACCATTAATTCGCACTGTTAACCTTTTTATCAAAACCTTAATATGACCTTGTAAGGGCGTTTACCCGTCTCAGTAGCGATATATTAAAATAATATAATTATGAATAAAAACAACTCCATATCCTTATACCATATTGAGATATTTGTTTTGTTACATTCTTTAAAGGCTTTAGCGGACGATTACGGATGTTCGTCTACGGCCTACGTTAAAAAACAACATTCCATCTTTATATATGATATGAAATGAACGGACTACTGGTTCACGACAGAAATGGTTCGAGAAGAACTAGGAAATATCTTGTACTAAGTGAGATGAGTTAGTTCAGCGTTTACTCAGTACATTGGTAGAGATGTTAGCAACTTAAAGACATGACCCGTAGTTATACAATATCTCGCTTCTTACAAAACCAAAAAGAGGTTGTCAACACTGAAATCGCCATCGGTCTTGCATTTTACCTCTTACAAAGAAATTTTTGATGCAAGAAGGTAATACAATCAATGTCAGTTAAGTACCTAAACTTTGATCAACACGTGACATTTGTATGGAAGACACATTAACGTGCGTTTATGAATTTTATCTTGTCTATTTATAGCACATACAAAACTTCCAACTAATGCACAGTTCCTTTTAGACATATATGCATATATTCAACTGTTACGTAGACTTACATAAATGTTATTCCAATGTTTACAATGCTGCACGCAACTTCAAATATTGCTTTAGTTACACATCACTTTCCACGTTCGAGAACACATATTTTTATTTAAATAGCAAGCTTCTCATGTATTCTGTTAAATAACTTATGCAGTAGGAAACAACATTATGTAATTCATAAGTGGAAGAAATCGTAATAAGACCTCAATTTAAGTTCTCCAGGAAATACATTTTTGGAATACTAAAATATGTCATTTAAGGGTTACATTATAGGCTAGATTTGTTTTGAAAACCTAAATGAAATAGGTCACAGGTGAGTTAAATCCAAAGTTCACCAGTTACCTACTTAAAATAAAGTAATTTTAACCAACAAGGTTGCAGCAATAAGGTCGATTGCAGTCAAGCGACTGTTACTATTTGGTCGTCTCCAACAAGACAAAAATGATTTGGAGACAAAAGTTGGCAAACATGTTGCGGAAAACTCGTTTACTTGCGGACTTTGAAATATATTAGATTCTTTACATTTGTGGCATAATCGTCTGTCTGTGCTTTAGTGAAAATCGAAATAAGTCTATAAATAATTTGCGAAGTTTTAATAAATAACAATTAGTTCCTACCTATTATATTCTATGACCCCGTCATTTGGGACACTATGCTTTGATTAACAACGAAATAATTATACTCAGCTAGACTCTATGATCACATTATAAGTTAACATTTGAATATTGTAGCGAGTTGAACTTGCAGCCTCGATTGGCATTGTCCTACATTCAATAAAGGAGAGGAATTTAGCAGTTGATTTGACACTTCATACTTGAGTTTGCGAAACTTAAGAGAGCGTATTGATAGAAAATGAGGATGATGTTAATAAATATAGGGAATTCCCCATTACCTATGACCCTATATGACCCTTTGCAGTTTGGAAATCTCTTTAATAATATTTGCATCTTGTGAACATTGCCATAATGGCATTTGCTAATTTAATGCTATGTAGAAATCACTTGTAAAAAATAACCAACTTACTTTTTAATAGTTCCCATGCTGTTGACAATAGGCACCTGAATAATTTTATTCAAAAAACATTAATTCGAACAGAACAAAGAGCACGACTAGTTTGAACAAAATCACTTTTTGTTGATCGAACGGTCGAATGTCGATTTTAGATATAGAATTTAATCGCGATTTTCGCGGGAGCGGTTGGCGAGCGCGCTCCGTTCGCCACGAACGTGCTGGCTCGACGGTAATGACGGAATGAGGCAGAATGAGGCTGCCGTCTGGAGGCTCCCTCAGCTGTACAGCAACCGCCGGCAGCGCCGCGCGCCGCCAGCGCAGCGCCCGGAGAGAAAGTTAAGTTATCAAACTCCGCGGTTACGTTTGGCGATGACGCTATCTTCCCAGGCGGTTGCGTATTCGGTGACAAAATTAAATTTTCGCGTACCTGCGACATTTTATGCGCTACTGACACGGTGAACGTCCATCGTTATGGCGTCCCACTTTACCGGTGCAATTTGTTTATTTACATTCTGCCTTTAGCGATAACAGATTAAATATTGCTTTACTACGTCGTGAATTAAAATGTACTGTAATATCGTGTAATTTGCATGTCAGTTCCTAAAAGGTTGAATAGGACCTTAATTAGTATTGTTAAATAATTTACGAGTTCATAAAACCTTAAACAAGACATGACCTCATTTCAGTTTTATGGACTGCTAGAATAATAAATTATTAAGTAGAGTCTAGCTAACAAGGGGCTAATGTAACTCTATTACTCTATAATCATTTCCAGTCAAAATGCTCATTAAAAACCTATTAGTTGAATTGTTTAAATTGCAAATTAATTCGGATATTGTTTTTTTGAATTATCAAATGAATGTCATCCATAAACTTCAATGTCCTCAATAAAACCGGGTAATATTATGTTTATAGTTATTATGTAATCTACGGGTTAATATTTATTCGATTGTAAGCGGTGACCGCACAACTTTCACTTTTGCGAATGTGGGTAGGTTGTTAAGAAAAGTCATATGATAAACGTAAGTACCTACATACACGAACATAATTATGTAGTGTGGGAATATTCCCTACATTTAGGTCAATTACAAAACTATATTGTTCGCAGTGGCTAATACGGACTAAGAAATGTATGAATTGTTTATTGTGACGGAAGTTCAAGGCTAGATATTGTGACATTTTGTAATTTTACGTCTATAGCTAATCTGACATACAGGTCTTTACATTCATGGGCACTAAACTAAACTATAATATATGTCGCGGAGAACCTAACGGGTAACCGGGGCTCCGGCTCGACGTGCAGGAGAAGGAACGGGGTGGTTTTTAGTCAGTAAGAGTCTGACACTCCCTCCCGCCTCACCCAGGCGGGAGCAGTCATTCGATGATTTTCCCCCCTTAAAAAAAAAAAACTATAATATATAGAGGTAATGTAGGTCATATTTTTCTCATAAACCTACATTATAAAAATACAGAACTTTTTATTTTGATGATGGGGTTAGACCTTCAAAAGGCACCTGTATTTTTAAAAAGACAAGAATGTGTTGTATTTGTACTTCACAAAAACACCTTACTGATCCATTAGCACTTAAAAGAGGACCGGGTCCTTTACAAAGACCAAAGCTCCATAGGCATAAAGACTCCACTGTGGAAAGCCAATGCTTTCGAGCTAAGGCTGTAATTTTCTAGAATATCTCACATTTCTGTTAGTACCTACTACATAGTAACAAGTAGTTGCAATAGAACAGTTTATGTAAATATCAGCTATTGCAATGTTTAGACATAGCACGTGATTGTAAGGCTTTATTTCCATTGAAAGATAGGCGTGAAGCGAGCCGAACTAAAAAAGGTGAAGTGATTGTTTAAAACAGCATTCAGTTTTAATGAGGTCACTTAATAAAAATCTTTTAAAAGTAAAAAAGTCCAAAAGAGTTTAGTGAATGTATCAGGACCAACCGGCCTATCTGGAAGTCTTTGGGGGAGGCATATGTTCAGCAGTGGACGTCCTGTGGCTGATATGATGATAATCAGGACCAATCAATTATTAACTCGTCGAGTACCGGTTTTGCAGACACAATTATAGAACAATAGGTTGCGGTCACCGGTGACCGCTTGGTATTTGACAGTTTAATATTACTAGCGACCCGCCCCGGCTTCGCACGGGTGCAATATGTATATACATACAAACCTTCCTTAAGAATCACTCTATCTATTAAAAAAAACCGCATCAAAATCCGTTGCGTAGTTTTAAAGATCTAAGCATACATACGGACATACAGCGAAAGCGACTTTGTTTTATACTATGTATTGATGTTAGTTGAGAAAATACCAAAGAAAGAATTGGGGCCTTTTCCCGGGTGTTTGTGATTAGGTACGTTTGGATACGGATTATGGATTTACGCATGCAATGAGAGTAAAAATTTCACCCAATGGTGGAACAAGAGTTCAAATTTTCGCAGCATTACTTCATTATAGTGGAGCACAGTCTTTAGATTGGGTTCAAGCAAGCGCTGCGGGTGCGCACGGCGGCGTTGCTAATGTTTAAAGCATTGTGGAAGGTTCAAAATAACGTGTCAAATCTTTTTCAAGGATTTATGCAATAAGTAATTTAATTATTTAATAACGTAACAACAACAATTAAAGTCAACATCCTTCGATTGTACGTGAGCTACTAGGAAGTCACTTATACACACACGGCAGTATTTGAAAATAAAGTACAGGAATGTTTTAAACTTTTAAGCTTATATTTAAAGCTGTGTGTACCAATCATTAAATGTTATATGTAGTAAACAAATGGAAGAACTTTAAAATAAAGTAAACATATATCTTACAAACGTAAAAATAAAAAATAAACAAAATTCTCGATTCAAAACGTGCAGGAGACTCTCTGCAGAGTTCGGTACTCAGGTAAAGACTGAATGGATATTGGATTTTTTGTTTTCGTAATTATCGATGAACAAAAGAGCTGGTAGACCATTTGGTAGCGTGCAAAATGTACCTATCTATTATATTGTGTGTTTACACTTCTAGTACGCACACTACAATAAAATAGTCACCAACTAAAAACATTGTTATGTACACATGTTGTCTTGTACCTTAACCAGATACCTTAAAAAGACTCAAGAGAGAAGAGAGCAGACGTGCTGCCTTAATATGGGGAGAATAAACAATAGCTCTGCCTCGCCTAACCTTATCATCATCCAACTCACCTGATTATAGTCTAGATGATTGATCGCAGGTTTATATAAATAAAAAATAATGTATACATGTTCAGATATTTTTCTATGTATTGTTAGTGAAGTCAAGATTCCTCTCAACGAAAGTTCAGTACAGGACACTAGGAAATGTTACCTGACATAACCATGGGGCTTGTTACACAATTGTCAAGTGTCCACTCCTTGTGATTACTGAGTGAAAGTGGCTGGAGCTTCCAAACCTGTCTGGTGACATCACAAGCTTAGCTCAGAGCAGGCAAACAATCGAACGTGGCTATCATCACCCACACACTTAATTTGGACATCTGCGAATTGTTATTGTGTACCTTTTCATAGTTTTGCAAAGGTGAAAGGTATTTGGACTTATATCTATATGTACATAAAAATGGTTACATTTATTGTTCACTGGAGTAGTAGACACAAGGGTCCTTATAGCATGTTTTTAATAAGAGTGTTTTGCTATTATTGGCATCGTTTTAGTAAGGCCAGGTTATTGCTAGGCACTAGCTTTTCAGAAGTCAAACCACGCTATTTCAAGAAAGTATTGGGGATAGATCTGACTGAGTCAATAAAACTATAACGGTAAAAGCAAGAGGAATGCCTTTTACCCTTCCCACCAAAATAAATGCAAATTAGAGAGGTACTTATTAATGCTCCTTGTGCCTTTAATGTCAATGTTTAATATTTGCTAAATTGTCAACTTAGTGAGTGTCATTTTTTAAAGTATTTTGTCAAGTAAGCTTGCATATCTATCAAGTGTGTAGGGTGTGGCTGAGGTTAGCCGGAAGATATCAACTGCAGGAAACGAACGACCTCACCAAAGGGCAAACGACTTCCTAATCCTAACCCAACGTAAGTAGCTTTGTTATAAAGAAAGAAGAAAAGAGGTTTGCACAGCTATTTTCTTAGGAGTTGACATGGATGGTACCAAATATAAACACTTTAAAACATCAGTAGAAGTAACATCTGATCTTACTTTGGAAATAGGTACTTTTTTTTAAACGGAAAAATCATCCAAGGACTTCTTCTGTCCAGGTGAGGCGAGAGGGGTATCACAATCTTACTGACTGGTTTTTAACCAAGCCGTTCCTACTACTGCACTTCGAACCGGAATTAAAACCAGGATACAGAGATTTTTCTTGTAACTGTCATAAAACAAAAATTGGTTTGTCACTAGTGTTTGGTCACTAGAAGTGCCACTAAGGAACATACTTACATAAGTATAAACATGAACACGTTACCATTACATAACA